TAAAAATACTTTTGGACCAGTGATTGGAAAGTGGTGTCTCTCACTATGCTCGCTGAGGTCGATGAGCGATGTCCAGGAGTCCGCGCAAATGCTGGCAGGGGAGGATTTGCCCAAGACCATCATCGAATCTGTCCTCGCGGGATTCGAGCGTCCAGCAAATCTGGTGGGAATTGTGAACGTAACACCATACGATGCACACCTCGAGTCGGTTGCTGTCCACTGGCAAATTGCACATGGCAAAGACTCTCCATTGGTTCGCTCGTTCTCCATTTCTGACCAATGTGAAGAAGTTTTGTTCAGCCAGCGTCGTCTCGGAAACAAGCTGCTACAGGAGCTGTGATTTGATGTTATCAAAATTATTCAGATCTTTCTTGTGGTAGAGACAGTAAAGACTGAAAGATACTGAAAGGAATATTCCCCGAGATTAGTCATACATGTGACACCTGTGTCTGAATGTGTCCTAAGCTATCTAACACCCCTGACCAGGAATGGAAGAGTGGGTCGCCTCTCTTTGAAGGCTTTCGCAAGTATGATCCTGAACTGGACCAGAAAACGGAAGTGAAATTGGATGAGTTTCCCCTTCGGTTTTGTCATGTGACCCAAGACACCTCAAAGAAGGGTACTGACCAGTTTACATTCAGTTTGCCTCATTCTGTGCGTGTGCTCTACATGAACGACCCTCTCAGAGCTGAAGAATGGAAAAAGCTCATCTCAGACTTCGATGATAAGTTCCTCACATTTTACTAGGTTGTCTTTCTTTGTATGTCAAAGCTATGTAAGGAATGTTGAATCTTATCAGGCACCCCCACAAAACAAAATTGAGCCAACCCCCATCAATTTCCATGTATGCAGCTTGGTCCTCAGGTTTCACATCGGCAAGGTGGAGCAAAGCATCGTTCCTGTTCCTACGGAACCAGAGCGGGCGGTGGAGCCCTGGCGGAATGAGCCCAAGGACTTGAATGAGCTCTTGGAGAACTACATCATCGAAAACAAGTTCCCATCGTCAATAGCAGGCGGTATGCTCTACTTGACAAGGTCTGAGACTCGTTCAGGAGAGAAGATCGATCTCATCGATGACCAGAAGAGCAAACTATTTTTTGATCCTTGTCTGCGCATCAGTTGGGGCTCAGCCCATACAACATGTGTCCACTTAATTTCCCTGCTCCAGGACTAGTCCAAGGAAGTCTTGCATGAGTGTTCCAAGTCAGTGATATAATATGATGTTGTCAAAGGCAACTATTCTTTTTTTGTTTCAGTTCCAATCATGTTCCAAGCAAAGGTTGCCCACATGGACATCTCCCTGGGTGAGAACGAGAGCGTGATCTCGCATGGAAAGTCCAAGTGGCTGAACCATGACAAGATGGCCAAGTTCCTACGCGAAGGCTGGAACCTCGGGGTCTTCCTTTTGATCGCCCAAGTTTTGGATGACGCATGGATGATGCCTCATCATCTGACTGAAAGTTAAAGCCCTGTTTTCTTGAATGCCCCTGGGTATTTCCACCACATGTGAGAAGACCCAACAGGTTAATAACAAAAACTCCTTCTGTGGCAGTCTTAAGCTTGCAGCCCTCTCACACCAAGTGCTAACTCGCCCTTTCACATCGTCCTGTCCAAAGATTGCACCAAGTGATCGCCATGTCCTTGGAGCAGCTGCTGATGTCTCATGGACTTAAAGCGGACCGGTGGGCTCAAACAATCAAGATGGTAAGTCTTTAAAACAACCATGGTAAGTACATGTAAGTACTTATTATTTACCAAAAAAAGGTTTTATCATCTGTGACATCAGCGTTACACAATAAAGTGGTTGCCGTCAATGTTGATTGTAGGTTTGCTTCCTTCTGGCTTTGCTTGCTCTAATCTCTACTGCATTCTCATTTGTGCTGCCTGCTGCCACCAGGACATCGATCAGCTTTTGAACAACAGCCCTGAGAACCTTGTGACTCCACCTACGCGAGAGATTCCCGGTCGTTCTATGTCAAGGAACTCCGCAAGTTCGGCATTGACTCCAACTGCTCCTCAATCCTTGCCTTTGCATTCCAGTTCAACGCGTGGCAATCCGCCATTGGATGCTGAAGCCAAGAGATCTTTGGCCATAGACTTGGAAAAGGCCAGGGGCAAGTTGAAAGAAGACAAGAACGCCGCAAAGAGCGCAGTGAAAGCCATGAGAGCAGGGTTGAGCAAACCAGGGAAGTCGGATGGACTCAAAGACAAGGCTAAGGGTGGACGTGGACGTGGACGAGGGAAGGGCCGTGGCCGTGGCAGAAAGGCCGCAAAGGAGACAGAGGAGGATGAGATGGACCTCCAGGAAGAGGAGGAGGAGGAGGAGGAGCAGGAGGACGAAGAGATGAACAAACTCCAAGAGATGCTGGAGGGGATCGAAATGCAGACAGGTGGTCAAGACGTGGACTCGGAGCAGGAGGAGGAGGAGGAGGAGGAGGATGAAGTGCTTGAGGATGAGCCCAAGAATGGGAAGGGGGCATCTGGTCCGAAGAAAGCCACCAGAAAGAAGAAGGAGCTGACCTTAAAGGAAGTCGAAAAGCAGAAGAAAATGCAGGAGAACAAGAAGAAGAGACAGGACAAGTTCAAGGAATCTGTTCGCAAGATCAATGCAAAAGCTGCTGCTACATCCAAGGAGTTGAAGAAAAAGTACAATGAAACGCAGCAGAAGTCGAACAAAAGGGCAAGACCGGCAACCGCCAAGGGGGACGAGGACGCCAATCAGGCTTCAGCTTCAAGTTCAGCTGCTGGCCTCAAGGATGCGATGCACAAGCACATCAAGGAGGAGAGCGACAAGTTGAAGAAGCAGGGCATGTCTGCTAAGGAGGCTCTTGCAGCGGCTCGCAAGTCGTACTTTGGCTTGATTTGAATTTAGTTGTCTGCTGATATTTGTTGTGATGTCTCTCTTGTCGCTATCCAGTTGGCTTGTTTTGCAACTTTCCCTTTGAATGTCTTTTGCACTTAGACCTTCTGACTGTCCTGATTACTCCTGCCTTTCGATAGCCCTTTCACCGTGAGGTGGCTGTCGAATCCCATTCGTGTGGATGCCTTCAACAAGATGTCCAAGAGTGAACGTGCCCGGCGCCGAATGAAGTGAGAGGGGGGGTTCTTGAGATCACTGCTGGGCTTTGGCTACTGCCCTGAAGTTGTTCCTGCGTATCGTCAAGTTTCTATCATAAGTTAATCCTGCTTCTCGAGGGCTTAACCTTAGTGAAGCCTGCAGTGATCAAATCCATATGTTGTTCATATCATGAACAATCTGCCTTTCTGCGTCGAGTTCGTGCTTCGAACTCCTACGCCTAGTATCAGAGTTAGGAGGCTGCACTGCAGCGTTGGGGAAAAAGAGGCCACAAATCGAAGTATCCTATGGACACATCAATCTTGAATCCCATTGATTCCAATCTTGAAGCCCTCCTGTAATTTCGTGTAGTTCACCAATTCATTCACTCCCCAATTATTCTGGGATCTACATTTAAACCTTGAAGAAAGAGAATTTCATAGAGAATCTATCATTAAACATTGTCGCCTAAAATACTGACAGAATCTCTCAACATCTTACCCCAGGAACCTCTCAAAAGCTACTACATTCCAGCTTGACAGGTGGGAGCCTTGACCACGTCTGCAGATTCGAGCTCTGCCATGACCAGGAACTGGTGGTGCTTGAAATCTGTGCAGAGGGAAGCAAAACTATGAAGGATGCCGCTCCTACAACTCTCAGGTCATTGATGGTGGAGATGGAGCAAGCTTCAATTGTGGACGCTACCCTTTGTTGTCATGAACTCGTTCGGCTTTCCCCCATGGAAGGCGATGAGTGTTGAATGGTGTAGTAGGTAACTAACCGTTGGCACATTTGTTATATCGAATATATTGTACATAATATATATGATATAAATATATCATATATTATATATTAAAATACTTGACTGATTCTCCCTCATCATCTCACTGCCCTTCATCCAGGCGGCGACGACGAGACAGAGGATGGGTTCCAGGTGAAACCAAAGGAGAAGAAGGTGAGCGTGCAATGGACCCCCACGACTGGCAATGTGAAATTTTCCACTGTTGCCAGTTGCTTTTCCAATGAGGCGCTCCATTAAAAAAGAAGTTGTTTTAGAGCAGGGACCAAATGACTGTTTCAAGTGAGTGTTCTTTAACACCCTGGGGTCTATTTCGTCAATTGGCACTCAGTCAGGTGCTCATCAAGAGCCGTACTCTCTTCCGTGCGTGGAGGGTGGGATACGTTGAGGCTGAGAACGAGATATCGCCTCGCAAACCGCTCTACTTTTGGCGGGACAACTACAAGGGCATTCGTTTGTCCCAGAACACTTGCCTGAGATTGCTCTAGCCATCTCTAGTCCGTGGAAGAAAAATCAATCATTCTCACCATGTGTGACCTTAGGGCTGGGGAAAGCCATGGACGCACTCTTGGTGACAAGGAGACCTGACCGCCCGAAGGAAAATTGAGGTCCGCACTCTGTGGAGCTCTCCGGACAGTGGAGGGTTTGCTTTGAGCAAACATGGGCTGCTGGGGTGGTGGATGTGGGATTCGTGAACCATCGCCCATAGAACACTGACATGTTTAGAAGGTTCCATAAACCTTGGTTCAGACACTCCAGTCTCTTTTACTTTTATTGTCTTTAATCTCTCATGCCTGATCCCTTCTTATTCTTAAGCCTCAAGTCTTTTCAATTCATGGGTTCTTCGCTGCGTATCTCATGTGAGCCATCCCATCTCAACAACCAAATGCAATGAAACTACCGCCAAATGTAATGAAATCTCCTTACTAGAATACAAAAGACACACAAAAAAATAGACAATAAGCGCAACTCTTTGTTTAACGTTGTTTCTGAAGACCTCTCTGCAGAAGTTCTTGCCATGATTTTTGCACCAAGAGTGAAGGGCTCGGCCTCCGGAACCTGTACCCTAGTAGCGTCCTTGCTCCTAGTAGCGATGCCACGAGCCCCTAGTAGCGTCCTGTACCCTGTTGTGACACCGGACCCAAGGATCATCGGCGATCGACGGCGACAGATGAAGAGGTCAGGAACGGATCCGACGGCCCACGCGGAAGCTCCAAAAGCAGAGGACTTACATTAAGTACTTTGGTCCATTTAGACCTGATTAGTATAGGTAGGCTCTGCGTGGGGAGTCCATGGTCAAAAGCTCCGGTTTGGGGTTTGGAAGAACAACCCGATTCTCAGAACACAGGTCCAGCAGTTGTCCCCATCTTCGGCACATTGCCAAGTCGCGGCATGGTCCGGTCCTCAGCTGGACCTACCTCAGCTGGATCCGCCGCCGTCAGGTCCTACGGGAACGCGATGTCTTGGAGCAACAGACCACCTGCTGGGCGTGCGAAGGTGTCTTTTTCGGGAAGCGGCCCGAAGAAGGGCCAAAGGGAAAGGTGGAGGCCACGTGTACGTACGTTTGTGAGTGTGTGTGTGTACCCCTTGGACTCACAGGGCTCCTTTCAGAGTTGTCTGGTTATTTTCACGTTTATATTTGCACGGGGACACGGGCTTGTCACCCTTTGTCTCCTTTCTTTTTGGACATTGTGTCTCCCTTCTGTCTCACTTGTCTCTGGTCTTGTCTCCCTTCTTGTTGGTCATTGTGTCCGCCTTGTCTCCCTCCTGTCTCCCTTTATCTCCGGTCTGGTTTCCCTTCTTGTTGGTCACTGTGTCCACCTTGTCTCCCTTCTTGTCTCCCTTCTTGTTGGTGACAGTGTCCGCCTTGTCTCCCTTCTGTCTCCCTTTGTCTCCAGTCTTGTCTGCCTTCTTGTTGGTCACTGTGTCCGTCTTGTCTCCCTTCTGTCTCCTTTTGTATCCTTTCTTGTCTCCCTTCTTTTTGGCCTTGTCTCCCGTCTGTCTCCCTTCGTCTCCGGTCTTGTCTCCCTTCTTGTTGGTCACTGTGTCCGGCTTGTCTCCCTTCTGTCTCCTTTTGTTTCCCTTCTTGTCCCCGTCTTGTTTGAGGCGGACACAGCAGTTCAGAGCTGGGAGACAAATGCAAAGGATTGCAAGGCAGAGGTTGGCACCGCGCAACAAGAAGGGAGACAAAAGGAAACGGTAGGGAGACAAGCCGGACACAGTGACCAACAAGAAGGGAGGCAAGACGGGAGACAAGAAGGGAGACAAAAGGAGACAGAAGGGAGACAAGGCGGACACAGTAACCAACAAGAAAGAGACAAGTCCGGAGACAAGGCGGACACAATGACCAACATGAATCCTTTACATGTGTCCCGCAGCTCTGTCCACCTTTGCCTCGCAATCCTTTTCATGTGTCTCCCAGCTATGGGCTGCTGTGTCCGCCTTTGCCTTGCAATCCTTTGATTTACATTTGTCTTTTGCAATCCTCTGAATTTGTCCCCAAGGTATCCGCCTCTGCCTTGCAATCCTTTATTTGTCTCCCAGCTCCGGGCTGCATGTCGCTTGCAATCCTTTCCATTTGTCTCCCTGTGTCTACATTTGTCTCCCGGCTCTGGAATGCTGTGTCCGCCTCTGCCTTGCAATCCTTTGCTTCCCAGCTCTGGACATCGCAAACTCTAGTTGCAGAGTGTTCCGTTGTTGAAAAACACAAACTGTTTGCGGTCTACGGTGGTGTAATTAAACACATTAGACACATATGAAATCGGTAGATCTCTGGGGGGGTACCTTATATACATAATTATGTATACACACACACACTTTCTTCAGTGCTTTTCATATTGACGTTTCCGTACTTTGCAGCATGGGCCCTTCCAGGAATGATGGTGCTTGCGTGTTTTTTCACTATTTCTAGAAAACACATGAATCGGGACACATATAATACAGTACTATATAGAATCTATAGTCAACTGCTTTGGTCTAAGCCTTGGCCAACTGTTTTCAGAGTTGTTGCGGTATTTAGTGGCCTGCCTTTGGTGGTTATGCATTGAAGAGGTTTTTTGGGGGAGAAACGGTGGTTTTGTCTGTACATGTGCGCATGCTGTTGTCAAGTTATGTTGTTTGTGTTGTTGTGAAATCAGCAGTTTTGTCGTCTCTCTACTTACGTCAGGAATACTTCCTGGGAAGCAACCATGCCAGATTAAGTGTTCAACTATAGGTCCTCATAGGCACCAACCATCTGTTTTCGGTGTAGAAACTGGAGCACCAGGTTGTTGGGCTAGCTCTTCGGTCTGGGCCAAAACAGGAGAACCAGCTGGCTCTTGGGTCATGTTGGCCGCTCCAAGTGTTGTTGGCCGCAGTGACCAGCTAGCTCCAATACATTGTCGAAAGGCTGAACAGACCGATACTTGGATATACTTGGATTATATATGCGTCCATTTAATGCCAAAAGTGCCTCCAGATGTTCTGTTCTTTATATTTCCATGTGTCACCTCCAAGACCCCCTAGTCAAGCAGCGAAGTGGCTGGTGACAACGCCCGTGGTTCAACCGCTGGAGGCTGTTTAGGGGCTCCTTGTGTTGTGTCCAAGTCCTCAAAATGTTTGAGCGTAAATACATAGTTGTTTTTTTCCCTTGCTCGTGTCGTGTTGACATAGCTGCTGCTATGTAAAGTGTGACTCTTGCCATGAGGTGGCCCACGGTGGCATCATGTCGCTTAGATTTTACCCTGCTTCACCGCCAGATGTAGGGTAATGTTTGTTTATAGATTTAATGTACAGTATACTCTCGTGTTTTCGTGGCGGTAGCGCAGTCTATACATTCATTTTGCCTCGCTTTGTTTAGGGCCCTGACCTGCAAAATGAGGTTCTCCCGGTAGTGATTTTGAAACCCTTTGCTCGTTCTTCGACTACCAAGTACTTTTTGCTTGCTTGCGGTCTGAGTGATGAGAAAGCAATTAGCAAAACCCAGCCCTCCCTCCCCACGCTCCCTTTCTCAAACACCCAGTGTCGCCGATCGCAAATAAATTTAGAATGATGTATCGTGACACTCATCACTTGACAAGCTGCCGCAGACCGACCAAGACCGAACACTATTTTTCCTGTGCGGCCTTTCATTGCCGCCTTTGATGCTGCTGCTCGTGCCCCAGTGCAGCGACAAAGTGCATCCTATATCACCAGCGGCCTCACACCAAGCACGCAGACCTGTCGCGCGAGCAGCGTGACAAAGAACTTGGGCTTAGCTTAACGACAGCTGTCAGCTGTGAGTTGCACATGTTGTGCAAGATTGGGCCTTCTTGCTGGTTTTTGCTGCGTCAAGGTAAGCCAGTAAGCCGTTAAGCAATTAAACCCATTAAAGAATGCGGCACAGCCTTGCTTCCGCACACTTTCAGGCCAGACGCTGCTGAACACAGCTTATACCTTAGCTTGCAAGATCTAGAACCCCCCAGCCGTTCCAAGAAGGGCAGTTTTGTCAACCACTTCGGAGTCCCGTTTCTTGCGCATCAGGCTGGGAGCGCTTGGAACTGCGCTGGGCCGTACTTGATGGAGAGCCCGAACCGAAGGCCTCGTTGCCGCAGCGCGGTCGGCAACGGGGAATGACCTTTTCGGGGCAGTGTCTTCAGCACAAGCGGATCAGTTACAGAACATCATTAGATATTCTTGACAACGAAATCCTTGACCTTCCATATTGTATTACTTTTTGTGCGCTTGGCACTTTTGCACGATCGGCGCGGATGAATAACTTCAAGTCGCTTCCAAGATAACTTCCTTGGTCCGTTTTCTGCCCCTACAATTATGTTGTACAAGTTCTGCAATTTGTTGTCTCCCTCAAGTTGCACAAAGTCTGTTCAAGTTATCTCAAGTTAAAAATTCCCGATTTGTGCATTTGTTCAATGATATTTGCGCAGTTGTGCTGAATATTTGCGCAATTTTTTGTGCGGGGTCGGTGGTTTGGATCGTGTCTGTTTGACAAAACAGGGTCCACTTTGTTCTTTTGTTTTCATTGTTGATGTGCAAATGGCAATATTATGTGTTGCTTGATTTGTTTTTTGTCATTTTCTTGGGTTGGATTCAAAGGCATCCACGGAACAACATGTTATGGATCAACTCTCTCAGGATTCCGTTGATTAACACATGTTTGCACATTTGATCAATTTGATCATGCAGGAACGGTTTGTTTGGTATTTTGTTTGACTGTGGCTAAGTGAGATGCATTTACTGCCAGTGATGATGTTTTGTTTGGAAATGACCGTCTTGCAATATGGCGTATGTGACAAGTATTTGTGCAGCTTGTAAATTTAACATCACAAAACCCAGCGGGACCCAGCGTTTCAATGTTGTTGTTTCACAGTCAGTTGTTTTTGAATATCATATGTCAGTATTTTTTGCAAAAATGTTATGTATATGTTACATGTATTCGGTGAGCAACTCAACAATGGTTCATCGTGTTGTTTGACTCTTAAAGCCCACTTCACCGAGAAATCCACGGGGTGTTGATCCTGTTTGTCCCGTGGTTTTGGCAGACCGAGAAATCACGTGGTTTTCGCTCACCGCCAACGGCCCAGAGTGGTCTTTGGTGTCCCCATCCAATTCAGCCCAGTCCTTTTTGGCCGATTCACAGTCCGAATCGATTCCCAAAGTCTCCAAGCACATGTTGAGAAGGGGGTTGGGGAGGGTGTGAGTGATGAAGTGATCCCTATAGGGAATGGGGAATTTTTGTCCGTGATTATCAACCTTTTTAGGGAACCCAATGGTCTTCCAAGGGGCTGTTGGAACCGGTTCCATTTGAGTTCCAGAGAGTTCCAAGGATCCAAGGAGCCGTTCCTGAGCCGCTCGATGGAACTTCACATGGCGTTCGACGATGGCCACGGTCCTCCGCTTCTTTCGCCCACGGTCCTCCGTTCTCGACTTTCAAACCTGCAAACCAAGGCATGTTTAATGACATAAAGTAAGTACTCCTACTCAAATCTCAATTATATATTGGGTTTCTAATTGAACAACTAGCTTATGCACGGTCACTTGGTCACTTGGCACTGAGCATACGCTTGAGGCGGTGTGGGCCTTCACTTCCATCGATGGCTTCGTGTCGGCGCTGCGCCTCAAACGGGCCGAGCACGCGGAAGGCAGGGTGGACGCTTGCTGGGTCGCAAGCGCCCAAGGAGGACATGTCCGAGGTTCAGAACATTCAGAACAGCCCGAAGTCCGAACAGTTCTTTTTGAGATCAAGAGAGATCTCAAATCTCCCGAACCATCCATAAGACATCCAGTGGTACATGTTTCTCTTGCAGCGCCGTTTCATGTCGTCATGGTTACTGCTTTGCAGAGTGTGCCCGAAAAGTCAGGGGTCATAAATCAGGAAGAGTCGCCGTTGGAATGGTTGGGGGAAGTCATCACTTGAAAAGGAAGACCGAGGCAAGTAAAACAAGAGTTCGAAAACGTTCATAGTTTTCTTCCTTTTTTTGGTTTCCCTCCCAAGAACACTATATCTTGGTGTGACATTCAGAGATTCGGCAGTTCAACGTGTTAAGAGTTTGTGGTTCAGAGTTGCCTTGCAAGAGCCCAAGATTCATCAAGATTCAAGAGCCTTGGCTTCCATGTCCCAACGAAGAAAGAGGAGAAAACGATGAGAAAACTGAAGGAGAAGTGCTTCAGAAGTGGCATGTCAAGCTGCACTCTTGCTGCGAAGCCATTTTTCAAACTTCAAACACCGCAGCCACCCCCGAAAGAGCAGGGCATTCTGCATTCCAAGTCGCATTCTGCGCACATCGAATCCTGCACTGCTTCGCAGGCGCCACGAAAGGTGCTCACTTTGCCGCGGCGCGTATGGTGCCTCGTGAGTGCAAAGTTCTTGGCATTTTCCAGGCGAACTCGTGGACGTTTCGCACGGAGGAATATGAGTCGTGACCGCTGTTGCCATGTCCACAGCTGGTCGAAAGATTGAGGTGCACTTTTTGGGGCGGAAGACCCTTTCCGAAGATCACGATTCTGTGAAGGATGGGCTAAATGGTCCCTAAATGGTCCCAAAACAAGACCAGGTATACCCCACCGTGTTGTTAGGATTGGGAATTCTGGTGGATTACCTGACATGTTTCCTCAACGCAGGGCACGGTTCACATTTTAGAGTTTTGGCCAACTACGTACTGAGGAGTAGCAAACGATTTCAACTGCCTTATTGCTGCCTCGAGAACTTTAAGGAGATTGCCAAGTCACAGCAGGAAGCCTTGATCTTAAAGTATCTTGAAGAGTTCTGAAAGTGGACATCTTCAAGTGGTTTGTCATTACAGAGTATTATTTTACATTGGGTGTTCAGTGCATGGGTTATCATGGATGCTTTCCACTTTTGAACACCCTAATTTTTCGTGTGATCATCTCATTCGAGTGCTCATCCGCTTAGTTCACTTCCGAGACGCTGTTGCGGCTCCTCCGGGGCATCCGGCTTCAGGTGGACAGTGCCCTGCGCGTCGCTCCTGGTGCCACCGAAGTGCTCGAAGCGCCGGTGGAGATCGAGCTCCGTGCCTGCGAGGTGACGGAGGGTCGCTGGGAAGCTTCCACCCTAGTAGCAATGGCCTCCACTTTAGTAGCAATGGCCTCCACTTTAGTAGCAATGGCCTCCACTTTAGTAGCATTGGCCTCCACTTTAGTAGCAATGGCCTCCACTTTAGTAGCATTGGCATCCACCCTAGTAGCAATGGCCTCCACTTTAGTAGCATTGGCCTCCACCCTAGTAGCAATGGCCTCCACTTTAGTAGCAATGGCCTCCACTTTAGTAGCAATGGCCTCCACTTTAGTAGCAATGGCCTCCACTTTAGTAGCAATGGACTCCACTTTAGTAGCAATGGCCTCCACTTTAGTAGCAATGGCCTCTACCTAGTACATATGGCCTCCACTTTAGTAGCAATGGCCTCTACTTTAGTGGCAATGGCCTCCACTTTAGTAGCAATGGCCTCCACTTTAGTAGCAATGGACTCCACTTGAGTAGCAATAGCCTGCACATTAGTAGCAATGGACTCCACTTTAGTAGCAATGGCCTCCACTTTAGTAGCGATGGTCTCCACCCTAGTAGCAATGGCCTCCACCCTAGTAGCGATGGCCTCCACCCTAGTAGCAATGGCCTCCACTTTAGTAGCAATGGCCTCAACCTAGTACATATGGCCTCCACTTTAGTAGCAATGGCCTCCACTTTAGTAGCAATGGCCTCCACATTAGTAGCAATGGCCTCCACTCTAGTAGCAATGGCCTCCAACCTAGCAACAATGGCCTCCACATTAGTAGCAATGGCCTCCACATTAGTAGCAATGGCCTCCACTTTAGTAGCAACGGCCTCCACCCTTGAAGCGATGGCCTCCACCCTAGTAACAATGGCCTCAACCCTAGTACATATGGCCTCCACTTTAGCAGCGATGGCCTCCACATTAGTAGCAATGGCCTCCACATTAGTAGTAATGGCCTCCACTTAGTAGCAATGGCATCTACTTTAGTAGCAATGGCCTCCACCCTTGAAGCGATGGCCTCCACCCTAGCAACAATGGCCTCCACCCTAGTACATATGGCCTCCACTTTAGCAGCGATGGCCTCCACATTAGTAGCAATGGCCTCCACATTAGTAGCAATGGCCCCCACTTAGTAGCAATGGCCTCTACTTTAGTAGCAATGGCCTCCACCCTTGAAGCGATGGCCTCCACCCTAGCAACAATGGCCTCCACCCTAGTACATATGGCCTCCACTTTAGCAGCGATGGCCTCCACAATAGTAGCAATGGCCTCCACTTTAGTAGCAATGGCCTCCACCCTTGAAGCGACGGCCTCCACCCTAGTAGAAATGGCCGCCACCCTAGTAGCAATGGCCTCCACATTAGCAACAATGGCCTCCACTTTAGTAGCAATGGCCTCCACCCTAGCAGCAATGGCCTCCACCCTAGTAGCAATGGTCTTCAACTTTGTGGCAATGGCCTCCACCCTAGAAGCGATGGCCTCCACCCTAGTACAAATGGCCTTCACTTTAGTAGCAATGGCCTTCACTATTAGCGATGGCCTCCACCCTAGTAGCAATGGCCTCCACCCTAGTAGCAATGGC